CATTCCTGCTTCCAAACAGATGCAGACCCAGAAGTTTGCAAGAAAATGTGCAAGAAGAATGAGTTTGAATCAGTCCTGTCCCTTGTGGCGTATTATCAGATGGTAAGGTGGCAGAATGCATCAAATCTCTCTTCTTTTTGAGTTTTCCATGAAGATAGCAGAGGTGCTATGATGAATGTACAGAAGACATTCCCACTGGATAGGGCAGTTCTGTGAGCTAGATGGAGTTGCAGCACATCCCTTTTTGCATGGTGGCTAATGTCAGTGCTATGCATGCAAGCTGTACGGAAGAGCAGGGGATGCTATAGACTTCGAAGTGGTAGCTAGCACTGTGAAGGGTAAAGCTTGCTGCTTTTATTAGCTCCATTGAGGGACAGAATCGGCATTGCTAATGTCTAGGGGAAGGATTTCCGAGGATGCTTTGGGAAAACTGACAGGCTGTGACTGCTCCTCTTTTAATTGATGCACTCCTGTGCATTAGTAAATAGCTTTGTTTAGGAAAGTAGGTTGTGAGTAGAAGCCCTGGGAGTGAGGAAGGAAATCAGTATTCAGAGGAAGAAATGGAAGCTTTGCTTTCAATGCCTACGCAGTGTTGCTTTGTCCCTCTCCTTCCTGGAACTTGCTGTTGTAGGACTCTACGCAGGTTGGAAACTTGTCCCTAAGTCCCCAGCTACAGCACATCAAGCCTTGTGGCATTTAGCTTTCATCTGGCACTTCCGTGTCTGAACCCAGAGCTCAGCATCGGCGTGCTGTAGCTTATCTGAGAGCAGTGGGAAGGCAGGCTTGATGGAGCCTGCTGGCTTTCACTGCCTACTCTTCTCTGACCAGCTGGTCAAGGAACAGCCACGTGGAGAGCAGTTGGGTCTCCTGTCCTGGCTGGTTGTGCCCAGTGCCACATTTTGGCTGGGGCTGGAGTATGAAGGTTATCCCCGCACCAGAGCTCTTGTGTGGGAGCTGCAGGTTGAGGGTAGTCTTTGCTGGAATCCCTGCATGTCCTAAAACTTTCGGGTTATACCCTCTGCTCCCAGCACAAACCCGACAGCTTTACAGTGGAGGAGCAGCTCCCTGTTCGTTAACCGTCACGTGCTGAAGAGGGTTTGGAAATATTGTGTTGTCTTCAGAGCAGTGTTTGCAAAACCTCAGTGTGCTCAGAGAATTCTGGCTACCCAGCAAATTAAATCTGTGTTTGCTGGGGATGGGCATAGGTTGCTGAATTGTATCGCATTAAAATGGGGCATTTCAGATAGGAGCTCTGCCTGCCGCCTGCCATCAGACCACACGTGCTAACAGCCTGTAGCCAGCCCCGTTGTAAAGGTACTGTAAAAGGACTCCTGCATTGTTAAAAGCTAGTGGAGCTTCTGGGTTCGCTGTCATCCTGGGAGGGTCCGTAGCTCCCCAACAGCGGAACTTCTAGCCAGTTCTGCCTCTGCCTTAGAGCAAGCCCTGATCTGGGGCATCGTTTCACCTAATGAATTGTTCTTGCAGGAACACAGGGTGCCGTTACGGCTGCTGCTGTTGAAGTGCTTTGGAGCCATGTGCAGTTTGGATGCTGCAGTCATCTCAACACTTGTAAACTCTGTGCTGCCGATGGAGCTGGCCCGGGACATGCAGACTCACACACAAGGTGAGCCACAGCTGCTGTACCCAGGTCCCCAGGGACGCGTCTTTCCATTGGATGATTTACAGCAGAACTGGTGGCCCCTCACTGCCTGACTGCTCTATGTGCCCAGTGCTCTGGGGAGAAGGGTGTCTGTCCTTAAAGTTATTCAGGTTGTTACAGCTGTAAGTGGAGAATGCATGGGAGGGGGTGTTTCAGTCCAATGATGGCCCTTTAACTCTTGAACGTGCCATTAGTGATCTGCATCACTTCTTGTAGTTGTCTTAAAGGACGTTTTGAGCTGTTCCAGTTTGTTTCATGTTGTTGACGGGAGACACCTGCAGATCTCAAGATCTCTGCAGCCCCTTATAGGCAGTTTTTCTCAGTACTCTACACCAGATCTTTGCAGTGTTTATTGCTGGTAAACGAGATGTGTGCTGGTTAAAGGAAAGGACCTTCTCTCCAGCACTGTACCAAGGGAGAAGGTAGTGCTGTTAACAAAGTTCCGGTCCTGGTCCTCTGGCTGTCCCAGCTCTTTGCTTTCCATGCCTAGGCTTTGCCCTCACATTCCTTCTACTTCATGCTCCTGCTCCCTTTTGTTAGGATGACCTGTCCCTGCTATTAACAGGAAGGTCCTTCCTGCCCTTTGAGCTCCACGTGCTCAAAAGCTCGCTGGTGGTGGTGTAGTCAGATTTTGCTAGTGTTGTCCCTCAGAGCTTGTGCTTAGCCCAGTGTCCTTTATCTCCCAGCAGCCAGGAGCAGGTGCTGAGGAAGAACCCAAGAACAAGGTGAACATGTAGTAATATCCCCTGACGTTACCTTCCAGCCACCCATGCGTGCCCACAACATGGGCAGTCACAGTTTTGCTTCCCATTTTGAAGTCAACCTGTAGGCCACCAGTGCTGGCAGTGGCACGTGCTACATTTTCTCTTAAAGGGATATTGAAAATCCATTGGTTTGTGCTAATCATAGCCAACAATTAAAGTAGCTGTTGAGTGATCATGTGGATCAAATCCCAGTATTTGGAGCTTCACTGCCCTAATTGCAGTCTGTATCCTGTTGGTTTGCTCTGAGTGTCATAGAGCTGTGGAGAAGCTGAATTTGGTGATGAGATTGTGTAGGGATTGACAAGTCTGTGCAGAACAGGGACTGTCACATTCTTTGCATGAGAGCCAAGTAAATGTCCAAGACTACAGCCTTGGATATGCATAATACATGTCCCTGTTCCCAGCCGCCCACCACCGACTGTGCCAACCCGACTGTGTGGTGGACAGGACTAGTGGGGCTAATCTGGTGTCTGGAAAGGGCTGTGAGAGGTGAAAATCAGGCCTATTGCAGAAGCCTTTGTGCTTGCCTTTGCTTAGATGCTTTGAAGTGTGGGCATTTCAAAGGTGGGGAGTGCCTGAAAAATAATGTTTCAGCTCAGAGTAAAGCACTGGTGGTGTGGAGAGGGACTGAGATCATTACACCTGTGTTGGCTACGCTTTCTCTTTGTGCTACCGCTGCTTATCAATTCCGCACACTGAACTTATCACAGTGTTGGTGTTTCATCTGGCTATGCATGAGAAGCCTCTTCTCTAGGCTGAGGTTTTACTGCCCAAGAAGCAAATAATATTTGGTTATGGGCTATGGCTGTGCTTCTGTGACAACATTACTCCTGATTTTGTGCTGCCAGAAATAAACTTTTATCGTGCATCTGTCACTAATTCATAAAGATTGTCTTCTGGTGAGCGTTTCCCGCACCATGCTCAAACAGGCTTCAGCCTCCTGCTCTGTTCCCCAAGCTGCCTTTGTGCAGGCAGGGCGGGCTGGTCCTGAGCTTTCACGGAGCCCCTTGTCCCTGCCTGTTGTGGTGTTGCTGTCCAGGGCATTTTCCCAGGGGCTGCATCATGCCAGGTAGCACAGCTAACTCGGCCTCTTCCTTGTGCCAAGGGCATTGAGCTCTGACTTCAGTGACTTCAGCACAGCTTTGCTGATCTCCATCTAGTGCTGCTGGTTGAAGCAGGCCTATCTCCCAGCAGGTGTTAGCTCTGCTTTGGGGACCTAAAAAGCATCTCAGTGGAAGTGAGGGAAAAGCAACTCTGCTATGTCCTCTGAACTGCCAACCTGCAGCTCTGCATCATGTCCCTTCTCTCCCTTGCTTCATCTCAAGGTTTTTTCCCTCCTAGCTGTAACACGTAGGCAGTGCAGTTGAAGGATGAAAAGCTGCTCATCCTTTGCTGACAGATTGCTTTTGGTTACAGGAGCCTCCCAAATCTGTGTCCTTATCCTGTGCTGCCTTCCTTGTGCTAAGCTTATGGCAGGTGCTTGTGGAAATGTCATCTGTGCAGCATCCAGTCCCCTTGGCCCTTGCAGTGGGGCTGCAGAAAAGTAACCATCCTTGACCCAAATGTGTCTGTCCTTCAGAGGTGGTTTAGGGCATTAGTAGTTCCCTCCTGCCATTCTGGTGCTTCCTGCTCCATGTGCTGCCAGCAAATGGCAAGCTGTACCTTGAGTGAAAACACGACCTTGAATCCTAGAATGACTTGAGCTTATTTTGGTACTAGAAACTGGGGAATAGCAGCTGATCCGTGACATACCGTGGAATAGCTAATCCCTTCTGCGGATGGCAGGGGCCAGAGCAATTGGTGCCAGCACTAAGCAACTGGGGAGCGTTGAACTGGCTGCAGCAGCTCTGTGGGATCCCTCCTGGCTTGTTACTGAAGAGCAGCCGAGGCAGAAGCTCTGTGCCTGGATGCTGGGCGCCTTTGATGAGAAGGCACTTTACCCTGGGGCTGATGCAGGCGTGTTGGCTGCTGGCCAGTTCTTCTGCCAGATGCTTGGGTCTTATTGCTTCTGGACAGCCACTTCCCTCTGCTGCGGCTGGCCTGCGCATCTATCAGTGTTAGAAGAGCTTATAATAAGCCACAGCAAGGCAGAATTAGCCAGAACAATTCCAAAGAAAACAAACGGGGATAATCCACTCTGTAATCGTGACTTTCTCCCTTGCTGCAGCTCAGTGTACATGCGAGTCAGCTGTCGGGCTCTTTTTGCTTGAGTTGTAGACAGTTGTGTCTGCTCCCAGAGCCCGAATTTCGCACTGCTGTGTTTAGAGGTTGGAAACAAGGTCTTTGAAGGCCTCTGAGAAATACCTGTCATACATAATAGCAGCTTTCTTACCAGTACCTCAGCAAGCTTCGGAAATGCAGGCTGGGGCGCAAACAGCCACGTGGCCATTTGACTGATGCTTATCAGTCTGTCATCAGCAGAGTCCCTCTGCTTCAGGAGAGTTGTGTTAATGCTATTTACTTTCCACTGTTGCTGCTCTGGAAGGAAAAAAAAAAAAAAGCTGTGCTTTGACTGGCAAGTACTCTGTTCTTCAGCATGGTGAGTCTTGGATGAGTCTGGCTGCAGCCAGGACACTCCAAAAACTTGTAGAGTCTGTGCTGAGCGAGTGTACCAGGTTAATCCAGATTCTCCCCGAGTTCAGCTTTCTGACTGGTCTCAGCATCCTGATTCGGCATCCTTAGGCAAATCCGACAAGATTTGCCACCTAGTAGTGGAGTCTGCTGTCAGCTGAGATGAATGGACATCAGTTCATGGCAGATGGGCCAAGGATGTGTAAAACTACCCTCCCTGCTCCCATCTCTAATTAATCTCTTCCTCCGTGTTTGCTACAACCACATGTTTCTCACTGGCTTCTTGTTCTCAGACTGTCATTTCATCGCTCCTGATGCGATGCGAGAAAATGTTTTGTTCACAAAAGCCTTACAAGGAACATGGGAACAGCAGGTCCCTATGTCTACCTACTGCAGTATCCTGCCTCTGATACCCAACGCCTGAAGCTGTGCAGGAAAGAATGAAGAAATCATGCAGTGAACAGTTTGCCAGATTCTTTTTCTGTAACAGTGAGCTTTGGCATCACTGACACCTTATAGCTGAGAGCTTCTTATATAAGTAAAAATTATATTTAAGTCATTGAATATCCTCAGTCTTTGTTTACCATGAGTAAACAGCAGTTTCCAGCTTTCCTTTGCTGCCACATGGTCTAGAGTGCTCTCCTACAAACTCTTAATCTTGTTAATGCTGTAGTATCTCTGGTTAAGCCCTGAATGATCTATTTTTACTCCGAATATTTGCTGCTTGAAAACTCAGGGATCTTGTGGAGTTCTGACAAAGTCTGCATGCTCTTTGTTTCGAGGGGCTTTGCTCACAGAGCTGACTTTCCAGGGGCGTGAGGCTGGAACGATTCTCCAGCATTTTTTCCCCCATGCTAACAGTAAATCCGGTGACAGTGAAGGCACCAGCCTGTGCAGTAAAACCGAACTGCAGGGTGCAGGTGCTTAGAGATGGACAGATTTGTGCATGAGAAGTGAAATGTCTCATGGGTTGGAGGGCAAACTGGAAGCAGCATGTATTATTGTCCAGGGAAGCAGTACTGCTGGGAGAAGCATCATACATTGAAGGGACTTTCTCCTCTAATGAAAAGTAGTTTTGATCAGTGTTTTATAAATACACACTCGGTTTCTTGTATCAAGTGCTCCAGGCTCTTTCCAGCAGATGTAGCTGAACTTTATTTAGCCAGTATTTGTGGTAACCTACTTGATAAAAATCATACTCCTTTTCCTATCATCTTTGGACTTGCTGAACTGGATGGAGGCTACATTTTATTATGGCATAGATCCTGTTCCATGACTTTTTTTTTTCCTTCTGCGAATATCTACTGAGGTATATGCATTAATTAAAATTCAGGAAAGGCACTGGCTTTGATTCTGTGGAGTATTCATGTATAGCTGCTGCCAGCAAAAATTGTGTTGGACTAGCAGGCTGCAGGATGTATTAATGCTGGAGACACGTGTGGCCTGGGAGGTGGGCAGATGCAGAGCCCGAGTCATGAGCAGTGATCTGGTCTCTCCAGAGACCTCTTATACCTCCAGGCAGAGCTGAGGTAGCAAAAGTAGAGCAGTGCAGAGACAGTAACAAGCAGCATAACTGTCCGGGGGTGGTGTAGGTTGGAACAGGCAGTATTTCAAGGTGGCCAGATGGATGCTTTTTCTGGGTTCAGTAATTGCATAACTATGGGATGTGTCCTGGGACTGTGCAGGGGAGGCTTTTAATTATTCAGATCAAGTTTGCCCAGATACTCTTAAGTGGAGGGGGGAAAAAAAATTGAGAATTCTTCTTGTGATTATTTTTAAATTGCTTTGGAAATGCATGGCGCACAAGGCGTGTGGTGTGCTTAAACAGGGGGGAAAGACACCCTTATATCTCGGTAAATACAGCGACGAGGAGCAGTCTAATGAGTGTTAAATGTCTGAATTAAATGTGTGACTTCCCAGCTGCAGCTGGGGAGTAGTCTTTCCATCTTCAGAAGAACTAATGGCAGGACCTTTACCTTGCAGATCATCAGAAGATGTGCTACTCTGCACTGGTGCTGGCAATGATGTTCTCCATGGGGGAGCCCCTGCCATACCATCACTATGGTAAGAGCAGCTTGTGCTTACGGCTTGGTAGGACAGCAGAGGTGATGGTGGGACATCTGGGTGTGCTGGCAGGCACAGGGAAGGGACCTTTCCTGGTGGCCAGGGTGGGGACAGCTAGGAAAAGCCACCAAAAGCAGGGCAACAGTAGGGTCTGCTCTTTTTCAGTAGAGCCTGGCTGCTGAAACACTGGGCTGAGATGCTAGATTTTGAGAGAGAGCAGCACAAATCTGCATTAGAGCAGGGGAGGACTGATGCCATGCTGCAGAAGAGTTGGATTTGCTCATCACTGTGACTAAGCAGCATTTTGTTTTACCCCTGTCCTGCGTGAAAGCACGCACATGCTACTTGCTTCAGAGACGTTCTGTCTGTTGCTGAGGCTGAGAGCCCGGATCACTCCACAAACACCCACCGAAGCTGTCAGCTGCATAACGTGGCCTCTTCCTGGTCTGCCTTCTAACGGGACGGTGCAGCCCTGTGTATTTCAAGCTCTTAGGGAGGGCGGAGATGATTACGGGTATTGCAGTCAATAGGGAAGTGCAAACGTGCCAGACCTGTCTGTTTTATCCTTTGTCCTTTCATTCCAACCTTCAGCTAGAAAGCACTGCCTGCCTGCTTCTTCCCCTGGCCATGTTGTGTTCCCTTTATTTGGGAAACTCTGGATTCAGTTTTCCTAGAAATGCAGTAGAGATTGTTATAAGCATCTCAGCAGCAGCTTCACCTTAACAGCCTGGTAAATACATAAAAAACTTAAGCCAGTGCAGTAGAGACTGTGGAATGAGCTTCCACACCTCCTGCTTTTCTCTCCTTGTGTAACCCTGGCAATTATTTCCTGCAGGTGGACTTATTTGCATGAGCTCCTGAGCTTTCCTAATAGCTAAATTGAAAAATGGGTTATAACTAATGATCTGGATGATTACTTTTTTTAAATAGATGGATTAAACCAGTGGTCAAGAATACAAATCTCTTCCTACCTGAAGCCTTCATTGGCAGCAGTGATGCTGGAACAACAGCTAGAGCAGGATTTGGTGTTTTATTTACTCAAAAAAAATTGCCAGTGGGGACCAACTTTCAGCATTCCCCTGCACTGTGGATAGTTCTCTGAGCCGCTTGTCTCTTGCACAAAGACACTTCAGTGGTCCGGCTAGCCCACTTGCAGGGTGGTTAATTCCCTGGAGGCTGGCACTGGCAATCCACCAAGGGTTTTTAAGTATAAAAGCACGGAGAAGTGGCTTGTGTGGTCCCTTGTCACTCCGTTTCTTTTCACTGTGCTGTAAATGCCCCTCTCTCCTTGCGCAGAACATCTCAACTCTCAGTTTGTGCCTCGGACACCACTGACCAGCTGCCTGACTTATTTGTCAATGTCCTTCTGGCCTTCAATCTCCACATTCCAGGTGGGTTTGGTGCTGCTATGCCTTGGCAGGATTTCAGTGGTCTGGAGCAGTGAGGACGTGGAGAATGGGGAGGGAGAATCTCACTGGAACATCACAGTGCTGTGATAACTGCTCCAGCTCCCCTAGCCTCTGGCAATACACTGTGTTTAAATATTGTGCAAAATCCTAGAGGAAAAAACAGTCTGAGAGCCCATGTCCAACCAACTGATGCTCTGGGGCACAGCAGCTCTGTGAAGCCCAGCAGATTTCTCTCTCCACACAGCCTGGATCAAAGCAGTTGCTGCGCTGCACTTGCAGAACAGGAGTGGGGTTAACTTATAGGCACAGCTGATTTGGGAAAGAAAATGCTTCAGTGGGCATTTCTCAGTACTGGTCCAGAAAGAAAATCCTTTGCTTTTAGGTCTTGACAAACCTTCTGCTTACCCAGCTGTACCCCTTGAAGCTCATTCAATGCCCACGTGTTGGGGCCAGGCTCTTCAACATTGGCCTGAGCTGCACTCTGCTCTCTCCCGAGTGCCCTTGTTCTGTCCTCCCTGCCCTGCTGAGCTCCGTGAGAACAGACACTGCATCTGGTCCCTGGAGAAGGGCATTTGCCCTCTCGCTGCCTGCGAGTTTTGAAGCCTGTTGTTGGAAGATTGGAGGGTAGTTCCAGATCCTGCTGAGAGAGGCCACTCCTTAACCCAAAATCTCCTGTTGCTCCAGTTGTCTGTAGTTAATTACTTCCTCTTGTTCTGCTTCATGGCTTTATCCTCGGCTTCGTGGAGAGAGGGGAGGATAAAGCAGCAAGGACGTGTCCAGTAATTTACCTGTTATTTTGAGTTGTGCCTCATTAAAATTTATGTGAAAGTTTCTAATTTCATGTGAAAGTTGATTGCACAGATGCTGATTAAGTATGGTCTCTGCTGCTTTCATTTGTTCCCCCTTCCCACAGTTGCCCATAGACTTCCTGGCTGCAGTAATTAGGCAATAATGCATGACACGCAGTGTGTTTCTGGGGGATTATTGCCCACCTGGGGTGTAGCTGAGAGCAGTGACTTGTTCTCTGATGCTAAGAACATGTTAAACGGTGTTCAGGTTGCTTATTAGTGGATTGAATTTTTATTCCTCTGCAAGATTCATCTATTGTACAGTTCAGAGATGCAGTGTTAGTTCAAAAATGCTCCTAAAAACATATTATATTGATGCTTTTCACTGTGAAGGATCCTAAAGCACTTTGCAGCCTCGGAAATATTATAGGGTTGCCAGCCCTGTGCCATAGAAATAGCCATGCTGAGCTGTTTGGATGCTTCTGAGCATGCACACTCACATGCATTCATAAAGTCTGCTAGGGTGCACATATTTGAATTACAAGAAATCACCCCCAACGCAGCTAGGGGACACTTCCTAGAAGTCTTCAGCACCTCCCCTTGCACAGCCCTGTGCTGAGTACTGGGAAGTAGAATTTTTCCCTTCTGGCATGCTCCTGGGACCTGGCTGTCCCTTCTTGGGAGAAGGTAATAAACTCCAGCAGGGCACTACCAATGTGAAATATGAAGATTCTAGAGAGTGGAGCCCTTGGCTTCAGAGGGTTGCAAGCAGAGGTAATGTTTCACAACACAAAGCTTTTGCAAGGTGTTTGACAGTATTTGGCTGCCTGGGCTGGATCCTGCACACGAATCAGGTGCACAGAGAAAGCACAAAGTCCCGAGTGTTTCATGTGTTGTTTCCAGATTTATTTCACCTTCCCTCTCTCTGCCCACTCACTCTGTGGGGCTGAAACTTTTCATAGCCCTGATAGACTGTGGTTCCCCAAACCTCCCCAGAGCACTGATGCAAAATAGGAGCCCTCCACTATTTTGTTTTTATTACCGTGGTCTTTGGGAAACAAAGGGATGTGCTGAACAGGTTTCTTCCTTAGTTCCAGAACACAGTGTGATCATGACTACAATAAGCAAGCACTCGAATGTCAAGACTTTCACAGAAAAGCTGCTGCTGCTGCTGAACAGGGGAGGTGAGTGTTTGTGGCACTATTACGTGCCTGGCAGGGGGTGCAGCTAATGGTGACTCCGGCAGTTAAGGGGTGGGATGTGTCGGGGATGCAAGTAGCTGAGGAGCTGTCGGCTCAGGCATCAGGCAGGATGTGCTGCTTCCCAGTGAGGCTGAGAGGGTGGCAGGCTACATTGCTGAGGGTGGAGCTGCACAAAGAATAAAGTGATGCTGGTGGCATCTAGGAGGAGAGAAGGGGCCTCTGGGTTAGCATTTCCATGCAAAGTGGTCCCCCTGTACTTCTGGGTCAGATCAGACCCATCTCATGGCATGGCCAGCTGCAGTGTAAGCAAGCTCTTGCCTGGGAGGAAAGCTGGTCCTTGGACAGACAGGGCTTCGTCAGCACTGGCACACAAACTTCAGCCCATGGTGGCAATCATCTGCCCTGGGGAACAGATCCAGAGTGAGGTTTTGCCTTCCAAAATGCTGCTTAGAGTGGAACTTCCCATTTCAGCATTGCCAGCAGAGGGTTAGCTTTGTGTCTGCTCCAGGCATAGAGTGAAATCCACTGTACATGTAGAGCTTTTGCAAAGCAGATTGCTAGAAAGCTGGAGATCTCCGTAGGATGAGCGGTGCCAGGTATTTCTGCCTGTGCTGCATGCCACTATTGTGCTTTCTAATACCTTCTGGAGCACAGGCGCTTTGCTGCCTGAGATTCATTTTGTTGATTTGCTGGTGAATAACTCATCCTGTGATGCTTGCTGCTCATCTTACTCTGGCTTTAGTTCTCTTTGGGGCTGCAAATCACTGTCTCCACACTATATCAGCTTGAGGGCAGCCGGCATCTCAGTGCTTTTCCGTCTGGCCTCCTCCCAAAGCCTTTGTTTAGCCCTTTCCCTGCCAGATTCCCTGCAGGGATCACCTTACTGTGAGGGGCTGGGGGAAGAAAGAGGGGGGCCACAACCTAATGAAGATACTTCTTTTTTGCCCGCCTTCCTGACAACTGCTGGGGGGGGGAGGGCTGTAGTGTCCCAGAGCCCCTCTTGGGGACTGCAGGGACATGTTTTGGAAGAGAACAGGATGTGATGGCTCATTTAAACTCGGAGGTGTTTCTTGCTTCCAGGATGGTATGAGCCTGGTCTCTGGTACAGGCTCTGGTGGGCTTTTCAGAGGGGTCATTGGACCTGACTTGGTAAACCAGGGAGAAAATGAGTGGTAGCTGTTGAGCAAAAAGAGGAGGTGCTGAGAGGCAATGTGCTAATGAGCTCTCACCTGGGATGGTAGGTGAAACATAAACAATGATTAATGCTAATGCGTTTGGTCACTGCTTGGTACCCTGCAGAGCTGCCATCCTGATTACGCAGCTTTGTGCAAGGCACTGAGGTCTGCTGGTACGAAAGCTAGCCACGGGCAGGGAGCGGCTGGCCAAGGCCAGGGGCAGCCTACTCTCCAAAGCCGGTAGGGTCTAATGAAGGGATGTGCACTGAACATGGAGGAGGTGGGCAGGGGGGAGCATGTGGCTTAGCACAGTCTCTCTGCCTCCCCCAGATGATCCAGTGTGTATCTTCAAGCATCAGCCTCAGCCACCACACTCGGTGCTGAAGTTTCTGCAGGACATCTTTGCCAGCAAGGATACAGCCAGCATCTTCTACCACACAGACATGATGGTCCTGATAGACATCCTGGTGCGGCAGATTGCTGACCTCTCCCCAGGAGATAAGGTGCTCACAGTAACCCGTAGGCACTGGGGAAGGGAGCACAGTCCCAAAGTAATGGTGTTTCTCCTGGCCCTCCGTGGGGCCTGCTGGTGCAGGCAAGAGTGGAGCCCTGGGGTGGGCACAACATTTCTGGGTGCTCAAATCAACCCTGGGGCTGAGGAGAAAGGGAGGAGTTATCCTGCCCAGCACACAGCAGTAGAAAGGCACATTTGAAGAAAGATCTGCCAGGCTTCTGGTGGTCTGCGCCCTTCTGTCCAGGGACCTTTGGGAACAGAGGACCCTCTGAGTAGAAGTAGGAGGGATTTCTCCATTTTGGTATTGCAAGAGGCAGGGGATGTGCCCATGTTTAAGAGTGGGTGAAGAGCATCACTGTTGCTGTGGGAAAAGCAGAATTTTCCACAGCTGCTAATGAGCCTTAAGGAAAAGCAGGTGCCTCGGGAGTCGTGCTCTGGCTGGTGGTGCAGCAGCAGCTGTTCCCGTGCTCACGCTGTAACCGAGGCTGGCATGCTTGTTTATCTCACTTTAAATCTTCCATTGTGCTCTGTGTTTTGTCTCCCCTCCCACTTGGCAGCTGAGGATGGAGTATCTGTCTCTGATGCACGCCATCATCCGCTCCACGCCCTATCTGCAGCACCAGCACCGCCTCTCCGACCTGCAGGGCATCTTGCAGCGCATCCTGGGGGAGGAAGAGGAGGGCCAGCAGTGCCAGATGGACAAACTGATCATCTTGGAGATTTACAAGGAGTTCCCAGAAATCTCTCCTGGTACCAGCTAACCACCCCTCGGCTTGGACTGGAGTTTGAACCACTTGGATCGATGATGTCTCTTGTTGACACTTTCTCCCCATTCCCTTCCAGTACAGCTCATACCTTATATCCCTCCGTGCGAGGCCTAAGGTTGGGACAGTGTTCGCCGGCCCTTTAGAGACTCCAGCGGCAGAAAGGGCAGGGGGGCGCCCCCGGGGCCTGGTGCTCGGGGGGAGGTCGGAGCGGGGTGGGTGCTGGCACGTGGTTTGCCTGCAGGACTCGGGCAGGAGGTATTTCGTATTTAGGCAGCTGGTGTTAGCGGGAAGGGCAGAGAGCTTGCGAGGGACTTAGCAGCTGGGGCGGGGGGAATGTTTAGCTGTGCTGGTGTCCCGAGGTCCCGAAGCGAATGGCCTTTGCCTTAGAGTATCACTTCTTTTCCATGTGCATCTCTCCCCGCAGTGACCAAGTGGAGTCCGCTGGTGCTTGGAAGAAGCTTTCGTAACACCTGTTTTGTTTTCTGCTGCTAGTGCCAATGTGCTGCAGCCCTGCCAAGGGGAGGTAGCTCGCTTGCTGTCTAACGCCTCGTCTAGTGAGCCTTTCACTCCCTCCTGGCCCTCAGCTTTGCCTCTGGGTAGCAGCCCACCTAGGGTCATAGGGGTCTTATCCCAGCAGCTGCTTTTTTCAATCTGCTTTCTATAGTGCCGTTTAAATCTGAATTTCTTGCACAGTGTGGCAGCCTAGAAGTAATGACCGCATGGGTGACGCTGCCCTTAGGAAGCCTTTGGCCCGGATACAGCGCAAAGATGTGTCTTGCCAAGCGAAAGCTGCTGCTTGCCACCCCTCTCGCAGCGTTGCCCCGGGCCCTCGAGCCGAGGGGCCGCGCATGGGCAGGCGCTCTCTGTTCGTGAAGCGTGTGGATTTCTTGCCTTGAGCTTCATAGTGGCTCTGCCTCGCTGCCCTCCCTCTCCACGTGGCAGCGCTCAGAAGCAGCGTGAGCCTGGTGTCCAGTAGCTGTTTGTGACTGTGCACGAGTGTGGGGAACCCTTATTTATATTTCCTCTAGTTTTCTAGCAAATGGGATTAACGTGTTTCCCTGTTACAGATAATCACGCACTAACGTGGGTCTCTTAAATATCCGTGTGCGCAGTCTGGTCACTCCCTGTCCTCAGCTCTTCCTTTGCAGTATCCAGTGTAGGAGCTATTGGAAAGAGGAACTGGAAATACTGGGCACTGTATGTTGGTTGTGGGTTTTTTTTTTTTTTTTTTTTTTGTTTTTTTTTTTTTTTTTTTTTTTTTTTAGCTTGAGGAGATGACACGAGCTCTGCTCTGCAGGCCTGGACTCTGGGCAATGGGGCAGTGATGCTCAGGAACGGAGGGGGTTAGCCTGGCAGCCAAGGGGGGTGAGGACCCCCTGAAGTCAGCCTGGGAACACCCAAAGCTTAATAATTACCCTCGTAGAGAAACCTATTTTTCCCCTGTAAAAATGTATGAATGTCAAAAGGGATCCTGTATTTTCTTAAACACTAAGTGTAACATGCAGAGGAATAAAAATGTCTTAAACTGCACTTCTGTGAACGTAGCCCTGCCTGCCCCGTCCTGTTGTGGGGGGACCGAAGGGGTGGGGGTGGCTCAGATGCCTGCTGCCCATGAGGGCGAATCACTGGGTGCTGACCCTCGAATGGGTTCAACGCAGCAGTTCTCCCAGGCTCCGCTTCTTGCCTTGCGTTTTCCTACCACATTGCTGGCAGAGAGGGAGTGGTGGAGGGCAGCAGCCCCTGGGAGGGGCACAGCCCTCACCCGTGGGCCTGCCCAGCATCGCTGCTCCAGATGAAGGGTTTGGCAGAGCCGGACCCCGTCATTCGCTTCCCGCGAGGCGCGTGCAGCATCAGCTGGCTCCCAGCCAAGGCAGCAAGCCCCACGCAAGGGTTTAAGGGTCCGTCTCGAGTGCTAACGAGTCGCTCTTTGGCTGCGGGTGTCTGTTCCCAAACCTCAGCCCTGTGCGTGCTGCTTTGGGGGGTGCATGTGGGGGGAGGGCAGCAGGCGCTTGGTAAAGGACCGAGTTGGCAGCAAGGAAGGTTGGGCTCTGCTCCTGGCTGCGTGCTGGGGTGGAGCCAGCTGGGCAGTGGGCTGCAGCCTTGGCCGAGAGTAGGGGTGTAAATGCCAGGCACAGGCAGTGTCCCCCCAATCATGGGGTCTGCATCGAGCACAGCTGCCTGCAGCAATGGGGCCAGGGCCGTGTCCCAGCTCCTGACTCTATGGCCAGTGACTCCCAGGGGCACTGGGCTTGTGGCCTTGCAGTGTGTCAAGCTTGCACACCTTGCGGGGGAATCATGATACGTGAGGGCTGCCAGCAGTCGGGTAGCTCTCCTGTGCCCCCTTGCTCTGTGCAGTGTGGTTACACATGCCCCCAGGCCAACCTCTGCTTGCCTCTGGGTGCTGCTTGGGCTTGGTTTTCGCTCATGCCCCGCTGCAGTGGTGGGATGTTCCTCTGGCACTTGCCCTCACTGATGCAGGCTTTGCTGTGCCAGGCTGGGGCAGGACCCGTGGCTCCGCTAGCTCTGCAAAGCCTGGACAAAGCCTTTCGTGACAGCACCCCGCCTGCCACAGGGGGATGGCAGAGCCCTGGCTGAGCTGAGCCTGAGCAGGCAGAGCTGGCGGCTCCCTTCAGCATCCCTGAGCTGTTGCTGTCCCTAGGGGTTGCTCACCCCATCTCCCAGCTACACACCGAGCATCACCCCATCTGCACCACCACCCTGCTGTCACTGCAGCCAGGGCTGGAAGAGGTGGGGGGTCCCGGGGGAGGGGACTGCAACCACTGCCTGGGAAAGGCCTTCGCACGTCCGCAGGGAAACAAACTGCAGCGTGTGAACTCATTATCCCCAAGCCTGCTGAGCGGTTCCTGCTCTGCGCATGGGTGACAGGCACAGATAACGGGCTTGCGTTGCCGTTAGCTCTAGCAGGCCGCTCTTAGAGCGGTATCTCCCTGCATCGGTGTTTCTATTGCAGTGCAGCAGTGAGGGGTGTTGGGGGGCTGGGGTGGGGGGGAGTGATGCACTGCCTGTGACCTGTGCCTCTGCTTTATTGTCTGGAATGATTCAATTACAACTATTTTGTGGCAGCAATACCCTGATGATTTTCTCCTTCTCCTCTGAGCTGTCAGCTGGGTAATTGGAACAAATAAACTTGAAAGCCTTAATAATTTTTTAAAAGCATCGCCTCTCTCCTTATTGGGTTTCTTAGCGGCAAATCCCCAGTTCGAGGAGGTGCGATGTATAATCCAGCCAGCGGCGGGGGCTCATGCAAAGCTGGCGTGTCCCCGTCACAGGCGGGTGCTGCTCTGCCCTTTATCAGATGAGGTTTCTCGGGTGAGCTGCATGGGGAGCCGGGGCTGCTCTGCCCATCAGCGTTAGCCTAACGGTACCGGGAAGGCTCGGGTGGGTGCACCAGGGCCTGGAGGGGGAGAACGTAAATCCCCATGGGGAACAGCTGGCATGGCCACAGCCCCATCAGCACTGGTGCTGGGCTGGCGGAGGCGTTTTGTGCTGGCTGAGGAGTTAATCACAGCAGATTATCGATGTTCAGCAATCTTACGGAGTTTATAAATTAACATGCCAGCTTCTTCGGAGGCTTAAAAATCCACACACACCAGTTGTCAGCCCTCAGTGTTGTGTGCACACGATGGGAGCTTCTCTCTGGCACATGCTGAGGTGCACTTCAGGGCTCGCTTGGTATTTCCCATGGTGGTCCTGAGGTGTGGGCTCAGCCCAGGCCCTGGCACAAGGATGAGCCCTGCCTGCTCTGCCCACCCTGCCGTTGCTCGGGTGGGGAACAGGCCTCAGCTCCTGTGCTGGTGATGGTGCTGGGAGGGAGGCACTGGCCATGAGGATGGTGCAAGGTGGTTTGGGGACCCATGGGGTGCGTTTGCGCACCCTCCGCTTGTACTCCATGTTTGCTTAGTTTCTATGGGAGTGGGAGCTTGCTTGCAGTCAAACCCAAATCAGCAGGCAGCAAGCACTTTCCCCACCCGCTCGTTTACACTAACAATAATTGATAGGGGACCATCTGTCACCATCGTGGAACCGAAGCCGGGTGAGAGCTGGTGGCAGTCATGGTTGGCGGGGGAGCACAGAAACACAGGGCATTGGGCAGAGGCAAAGTGCTGGTGACACCAGGATTTGGCGCTGCGGCAGCAGCCTGTGGGATGCCATGGCCCCGTCTGCAGCTGGACCCACCAAGGTCCCCAGACCTGCTGTGCCCAGGGGTCAACACGTCTCCTCTGACCTCCCCCTTGCTGCACAGATGGCCCATGCTGTCCAAAGCAGCATGCAGCTTCAAAGCAGCCGCTCAAATTTCTGCCAAGGGACCGCAGGACCTTGCACATTAGGTTTCCTGCGGGGTGGGAGCGTGTTCGGCTCCCCAGGCATGTCAGAGAGTGCGGGAGGCTCCTGCAATGCTGGGAGCAAGGGCTGAGCGAGCCGAGGAGCCCCATCGCCGGTGTAAATCCATCCCGCTGTTAACTCGTGCGTCTTTTGGGGAGCGATGTAAGGGCTGCACAAGGGGTGCCGGTGGTGCCCAGCCTGGCTGCAGTGTTGGCACAGGGGTGTCCCTGCTCCCCAGCCTATCCACCCTGAACCGCAGCCGCTCCAGCACAGTGGGCTCTTGCAGCCCCCTCGGAGCTGGGATGTGCATGGAGGCACCACGCGTCCCGTGTACTCCCTGCCCTTCCCTACCCAATTCTAAATTCCCCCACCTCCCAAGTTTACTCTATTTTCCTCCCTGACACAGCTCTTTCTTCCCTAGCATGCGCCCCAGCTGCTGTGCCTCAGGCTCCCCTCTTCTTCAACAGGATGCGGGTGAGGACGTTTCCCCCACCGCGGTGCAGTGAACGGTAATGAGGACGTAAACCCCTGTTATTCCTAAGCCTATTACAAGCTTCAGTGGATTAGACTGCAATATTAGTTGATTGAGATCAAACCAACAGCTAAGTTGCAAGGCTGATGCACTAATGAACGGTCCCGATGCAAGGGCCTCAAACTGAATTTTCCTTGGAAAAATGGGGGGTTTATGCAGATGCTGGAAGAAAAACTTGCAACTTGCTCCCCAGGGTTGATGCCTCACCTGGTGGATGTGGCAGCTGAGGTCTGCAGCAAGGCATGGGAGCAGGCCAGCAAAATCCCTGCCACACACAGCGGGGGCTGCGGCACTGCTGCAGGTGCTTGGGCACCGCCTGGTCACACTACGGCCCTGCAGCCGGGGCAAGGGGAAGCCCTTTCTCAGGGATGCACTAAAAAAAACCGCATCCCTGAAGACACCAAGCTTGGTGCCGCTTGCGGATGGATGCAAGTGGGCAGAGGGAGCCGTCAGGGCTGCAGAGCACTGGCAGGGCCTCCCACCAAAGCGCCGGTGCTCCCCTGCCTCGCCCTTGCTGCTGGCGCAGGCTCTCGCTGGCGGGTGGATCCAGGGGGGCAGGGGGAGCCGTCAGGGCTGCAGAGCACTGGCAGGGCCTCCCACCAAAGCGCCGGTGCTCCCCTGCCTCGCCCTT